CGCCCCGTCCTTGGCCGGCCAACACGAGCAAAAGCCAGTGGGAAAGGGGGGCAGATTCCAGCCAGCCAATTCTTAGCCATGCTCATTGCAGTGGGGGGGATGGCTCAGCGTTGCACTGCGCCCCCCCGGCGGTACCGGCCTGAGCCAGGGAACATACCAGGGACCAAATTCCTCGACGAATCGCTGTCACAGGCCACCTGAGCCCCGCTGAGGGCCTAGGAGCCAACTAGCAAACGGGGCCCCGTTGTATAAACACCCCAGGAGACCAGCCCGTATGGCCGCCTCCTCAAAATAGACAAGCAAGACTGGGGGGAGGGTGTGCAAGCTCAGTACAGAGTCACTCTGCGGCCTTGGGCAAGTCAATTCAATTCTTTTCTCTGTGCCTCAGTTTCCCACTCTGAGGAAGCGAAGCCGCCTGCCTATTCCACAGAGCCCTGGCCGGATGAGTGAGGTGGGGCTGGTCCTGCTTTGGGCAGGGGCTGGACTGACTCCTGAGGTCGCTGCCCGCCCTGGGGTTCTGTGTTTAAACACTGTCCTAAGTGCTTTGAAATCGACAAGGCTACAGCAGCATCGGGACGTCTCTGAAAGCAGCCAAGAGTCCACAATCAAGGTTCACAAGTACATTGCAGTTCAAGTGCCAGCTCCTCCCCCAGCCTACAACGGCAGCGGTTTCGGGCGTGGGGGGAATTAACGCCGGGAGCTTTTGCTGACCCTCATTTCCAACTAGATCCCCCACACCCACCCTTCCCCCACCGCTCAGAGCTCTTTGACAGTTTCTTACAACGGTTTGGCATTTACCACGTCAGCTGCAGAGCCATTCCCACCGTCACCCGTGTCCCACGGGGCCGTTCCTGCGAGTCGCTCCATCCTTTCTGTGTTCCGATTTGTCTCGCTCCTCCTCAGGAGTTTTCAGAGTCTGGTGCCCTCAGCTTGATTTTTTCCTGTAGCACTAAGTATGTCTCCTTCTTTCCTCTCTCCCTCTTCTCAGCGGCTTACGGGTAGTTCTTCCGTCGTCCTTTACGCAGGCCTTCCCTGGCTTTCTTCTCCCTGCTCTCTTCCCGCCTTCCACTCTGCTCTTATCCAGCTCCCCTCTCCCCTGGCTCTCTCGGGCCCTTAGTTAACAGGGACGTTACACTGACCGGACGAGGGCCCCCTCGGCCATGGCAGGACCAGGTAGTTAAACGAGGAACTGGTTTCACATCCCCATATTTAACCGTGTGCTTAAGCATCCAGCGTGCTGGGTGAACCCCAAAGGCTGCGTTAGCAGAGTGTGGATTTTAGTGCATTGACTCAAGTCCTTAGGCACGTGCTCGGGAACTTGCTAGATCAGGCTTTGTCCTGCCAGTGCATTCTGGGCAGTTTTGTCCAGGCCAGGTTTCCACGTCTCAAGCACCCAGGGCTTTCTCCCTGCTCATGGGAGTCTGCTCCAGAGTCCAAAGTCCAGCTGACACCAGCCCTACTGAGTGCAGGGGACACAGACTCCCAGGGCCGGCAGAGACCCCAGGAGGCACCGAGACCAGCCCCCTGCCCAAGGCAGGACCAACCCAACTCAATCAGCCCAGCAGGGCTGTGTGAAGCTGGGACTTAAAAACCTCTAAAAACCTCCAGGGATGGAGATTTCACCACCTCCATAGGATACCCATCCTAGTACTTCACCACCCGTGAAAGAGTTTTTCCTAATACCCAACCTAGCCCTCCCCCACTGCAACTGGAGCCCGTTGCTCCTCGTTCTGCCCCCACTGAGAACAGCCTCTCTCCAGCCTCTTTGGACCCCCCTGCAGGGAGCTGCAGGCTGCTCTCAAATCCCCCCTCGCTCTTCTCTTCTGCAGACTGAACAAACCCAAATCCCTCGGCCTCTCCGCGTAGGTCATGTGCTCCAGCCGCCTTGTCATTTTGGTCGCCCTCCGCTGGCCCCTCTCCAGTGCGCCCACATCCTGCGTAGTGGGGGGCCCAGAGCGGGACGCAGCACGCCGGCCTTCCTCTGCTTCCGCACCCCCCTCCGCCTCCGTGTCAATCGCACCCTCCTGCTCTCCCCCTCCCTGTTGCCTCCCTGGGCAGGTCATGAGCTGGACAAGCCACTTTCTGCTGCAGCCCAGCCCAATGTGCCTGGTTGTTTTCTTGCCTCAGTTTCCCAGAAGGGCTGCCGGCTCTCCACTGACTAGCCGACTGGAGCTGCCGGAGGAGGCCAGGCCCGAGCACGTGGCTCCACTGTGCCACATTGAGCGTAGTGGGGAGCTGGCTGAAAAGGGGAGGGGGGCTGCCGAGAGCCCCCTGCCAAGGCAGGATCCGGATCTGCCTCGTCCCAAGGCAGGATCCGGATCTGCCTCGGTGCCAGCCCGTGAAGGAGCAGGGAGCCCAGTTTGATCCTAGGATCCTGCAAGATGAGGGTGGGAAGAGACCCCAGGGGCTCATCTCGGCCGACACCCCAGCTTGATAACCATGGACTCGTGTTTAAACCTCGGGGGGAGGGATTGTTTGGGGGCTGCAGTGAACGGGGGTTCGGGACATCATAGGCCCAAGTGTCCAAGTCTCTCGCTCCCTGCAAGGTGGAACAGACTCCCCAGTGCCTGAGCTCTGGAAAGCCGCCTGGACGAGTCTCCCCAGAACAGGGGGGATTTTAAATTTAGACCAATAATAATAAACACGCCATGGTCTGGTGTGTCATCTTGGTCATGGGCACAGCTAGCCCAGAGCGCCCCCTGCTGGCTCAGCCGGGCACGGCCGGCGCCTCCCTTCTGCCAAGAATGTGTCACCTGTCAGGTCCACAGTCCAGTCTGCTGCCAAGATAACTAGCAGCCAGACACACGGGGGTGGCTCTACCCCTCCCCCCCGGCCTCCTCAGCCCACCCTCCTGCCTCTGTCCCCAGCCCATGCTGGATTCTCTCGGGTCTGGGTTGGGATCCTGCCCAGGTGTCCTCTCCAGGGCACCGTGCCCTTCCCCAGGCAGCCCGCTCGTGCTCTGTTATTCCTCCCCCGCACCGTTTTCCCAGCCTCTTTCTGAGGCCCAGGGATCTCAGGCCACCACTTGACCCCAATTAGGCCAATCTCTTCAGGCTGGGAAACAGCTAATTATGGCACCAGCTGGGCGGGCTGAGCACCGCTGGCTAACCCTTACTTGGAGCAGTAACCTAAAGGTGAGAGACTCTAGTCCAGTCCCTGGTGCCACCCTGATTTACTACCAGTACTAAATCATTAGCAATACTGTGAAAAATACCAGACAGGTTCACACTCCAATGTTCCCTCTAACTTTTCCGTCCACGTGCAGAGTAAATGTTGTTGCGTGCACCAAGACCTATCCAGATGTGCACCACCTCAGACACCCTCGCTGCCAGCTGTGGGCGCTCTGCTAAACAGCTGGGCAATATTTGAATCTCTCGTGGGCCACCACCCAAGTGCTCAGCATACAGGGAACACTGGCTCAGTCCCTTTTCTCTCCCGTATCAGGCTTGCAAGGTTTCAGGAGGCACAGCCGGCTGTTCTAGGGCCCTTTGCTCAATGATTTCTGGCTGCCACAGTTGTCTTTGTGGGACAGTAGCCAGGAGGCAGGAGTAGGAAGAGGTGGAGGGCGCGATGGGTGAGCCTGGACATACAGAGATGGATGGAACCAGGAGAGGGCCCAGTGAGAGCTGGGGGAGGGGCGGGAATAATAAATTCTCCAATAATGCATTAGTTTAGAGCCCTGAAACTGTTTGCAAATGTTGATCAAGTTCAGTGTGAAGTTTGGCCTGGAGAAAAAAGGGCTTTTTGAAGCAGAAATATTTCCTTCCAGCCACCTAGAAATGGCACATTTTGGCTTTTCATTTCAAAATGTTTTTTAAAAAACTTAAATTGACTTTAAAAAAACCCGGTGAAAGATACCCCAAAACTACTACACAAAAACTGGAGAAAACTTTAGGTTGGACCCAATGTCACCGTGCATCCACAATGTGGTGTTTTGTTTTGGCGAGAAACTGGAAAAAAACCCAAAATACTTGCAGTTAAAACCAAACAGCCCTCCCCCACATTTGTGTTGGGGTGGGGTTAGGGGTTTTTTTTTTGTTTCAGGGGTCAATCCAAACCCAAACCCCACTAAGGCTCTGATCAGCTCTAGTTGGCACCTGTCAAGCCCCCAATTAAAGCCACCCTCCTCTAGATTGCACTCTGAAATTGAATTCAAATATGCAGTTTGCCCATGGAAGCAAATTGCATATCTTATTTCAATTTTAATTCGAAAGAGGCTATTTCAAAATTTGGCACCCAATTTCAAAATAAAGCGCTATTTCAAGACATCCCTTATTCCTCGTGGAACGAGGTTTACAGGGATGACAAAATAGTGAGTCCGTTATTTTGAAAATTATTTTGAAATAGCGGCTGCGTTCCTTGGACGCGGGGTAGCTATTCGGGATATCTCCGGCATCCTGAACTAGCCTTGCAGTCTAGACAGACCCTTTGTTTCAGGCTAATGGCCTGAGTCAGTAACACAGCACTGGAGTACAGGGCCACACAGCCTAATGGCTAGAGTCTCAGAGTCTCAAGGCATCAGCCTTGGTAGGGGGCCCCTAACCCAGGTGTGACGTAGTGGGGGGTACCTTGCTGGTTGCTAGGCTTGGGTTGTGAGTGACCTTCACTGGCTACTGTCTGCAGCAAGGCCCAGCAGGGCAGGGGATGAGTCATTATGCAAAGGGGCTTCGAACCTGTCTGACGAGTTCTTCCCCAGGGAGCGGAACAATGGGAGGACAGGACGGGGAGTGGAGCCCTGGCTGGGGGCAGGGCTGGAAGTGAGTGAGTTAGTTTCTGTCTGGGAGCATGGAGGAGACAGCCTAGGGGAAGGGGCTGGGATTTAGGGGCCCAGGCTCCCCCATCTCACGGGGGGCTGAGACATCCTAGGCCTGCCCTGGAACCAGATGACATCTGTGCTGTGCTGTATAAACTTCCTCTGTTCTACTGGCTGGTGGAGTCTGTTCGCGCCATATGCCATCACACCAGGGCCCTGCCAGCGGGGAGAGATCCACCACTCACTCAGCAGGGAACCCCACCACAACACGCTGAGCTCACTCAGGTGGGAGATACCACTCGCGCCCCCGCCCTGGGTCACTTCCTCTCGGCTCTGTGATGGGTGCACCACATCATTTCAGGGTCCTCCAGCTCCACAGCACCAGTCTCCTCCTGAGACTCCACCTGCTCCCAGATCTCTGGCTGGGTCACCTCTGGAGCCCCTCTCCACTATCCAGCACAGACTGAGCTGAGCTGCTCCCTTTTATACTGCTCCAGCACTTGGAGCATGCCCAGTCTGGGTGGAGGGGCGGGACTTCCTCTGCCCACAGGGTTTTAACCCCTTCCGTCCCAGTGCGGGGTATACACACCCCATCACACCCCATCACTCCCCCTTTTGTTTATAGGAGCATTTTTTC